GTAATGGCAAGCTTTTAGTAATATAAAGACCTTTTACCCACGGAAAGATATTGTTCTATAACAGAAGTTAATGTTTAACTAACTCAAGTCCCGACGCATTGACGCTGTCCCAGCATCTTAACAAACATCCGTCAAGTTATAGACGAGTTATTATCAGTTATGTACCTATAAGCCATCAAAAATTATCTGAAATAGATTGATTACTATTAGATATCGCACTGAACTAATGACACGGTTTTAGCAATGACAAGGTAGCAGACGTTAGGGTCTAACTAATTTAAGTTTGAGTTCAAGATCAGCTCACAGTTTTAAACTAAGATATTTGGGAAATTTATATCTCCTGAAAAATTTGAAGATCACATCTTTCAATTTCAGTATAGCAATGTGACTACAACTTATTTTTGCAAATCTCAACAAATTCGATGGCATGGTTACCTTATACAAATGCTCAATGACATCACAGTTTAATAGTCTCTAAAGAAAAATAAGATATATACCGAAGCTATAAAATTAAGTTAATTAATTGTGCGTATTATAGAAACATTGTGAAAGACGTTCTGACTCCTTGGATCGCAATGGTTTGTCATACCCGTAGATAAAAATGATGAATGAAGATAAACAAATAAACAAAGCAAAATTTTCTTCGATTGGAATATCATTTAACCAATTTACTCTAAATTAATTCCATTAAAAAAATTTTAATTTTTTTACGAAGTTCAAAGGTAACACTACTTTTGTGTATTTTAATTTTTTCGTCTATTTCAACTAAACATTTATTTAAAAACATTTTTTTCCGAATGGATCATATTAGGTTGTTCTCTAAGTTTGCGATATGATATGAAAAACGGATTTTCAGTTGTGAGTTTATTTATTAGTAATATCTTTCTAAAGTTCGAAATTTATATTTCAACGATTGTTTAATTTATAGATCCCATCTCTGTGACAGTTGTGGGCTAATACCACTTCGTTTGATAAAAATCGTTTTTTATGAAACCATTTTCTTTTTCAGTCTTTTTCTTTCTAAGACCTGTACTTTTAACAAGCGAGTCCACTTATAATCCACTTTTTATCATTGCTTTTGAAGCTTTTTTTTATATTAAAAGCTAATCACTGAGGGATATATAATTTTTTCTATACAATTACATGTCAATTATAAATAGTTTGTAACCAAAGGATAGTTTGATCTGTGAGATTAAAAAGAAATTTTGAGAACGTGCTAACATAAGACAAGTCAATGAAATGGTGTCGTTGGTTAAGTCCTACAATAGACGAAGAGATAGAATACCGCTTCGTTATTGAACAAGCTAGCATGATTATAATCGATTTGAAATGATTTGAGGTTTTGTTTGTTTGTTTACCAAGATGATTCTGAAGTATTATTTCCATTATATATGAATAGATGGTGCAACGGTGACTTATTCAATAACTTCGGTTTACTAAAATTGATGTGAGCTTTTATTTACTAAGTAAGCAATTGGTTTTAATAGCTACTATCCTAAAATTTTACGTTTTTATATATAATATATATTTACTCATACACACATGTACACTGATGCGATTTTTTTTGTAATCTCATACTTAAACAGCTTGTAAAGCAGAACACTAAAGTATCTATAAAAAGTGTGTAATACAACTGAAATCATTATATCTCATTAATTATTCATGCGTATTCTTTTGAAAAGTAAAGTAAGTTGTATATAAAAAACTTTGCGCATTAAAAATGGGAAGCATTATGCAAATGGCTAATAAATTAAAATCATGAGCTGTAGCATGTAAAACTTCTAAAAAAATTATTTGCAATAAAAAAGATTGAATTGAATTGTATCACAAAGGATATTTGCTTAACAAAGAGTTTAACGTTGATGACAGTAAAATAATAAAGTTGATATGCCATTGTATGAAAATCGCAATGAAAACTGAAACTCATTAAAATAATAATCGTATGAATTTTAGCAAATTATATTTATAGTCCAGGCATCAAAGTACTATATATGTATGTATATGGTATTTGTGCATATAAAAAAAATAATTTTGAACAAATGCACACAATGACAGTCTCATATATGTATATAGTTAATATATTTAACGACAACTTTGACAACAGCAATAACAACATGTGTAAATATAGTCTACAAAAATTTTGACATTTATTGTTGTCAAATAATTGTTTATATACTATATATACGTGGGGATGCATAAACTTTAGTTATTGTAATTTAACTTCAAAAGTATCGCATAATTGAACATTTTTGCTACTCCGCGGTTTATTCAAACTTATTCGAAATTGTTATAAAAATAATAAAGGAATTATTTTTGTGGCGCATGTAGTTTGAAATTTGTTATATGTTATGCGAATTAAATTAATGATCTTTCTAGTTCATAAAATTCGTTGAAATATCAAAGCAAATGTCAAAGTTTTCACACATACTCTGTCGCAAAAATTGAATACGATACGCACTTATACCATATAGAGAGGACGTAAGGGTGCAAAGTACGAAGTGGTTACCATTTGTGATTCATAAAATATGAGTATTCATAGAAAACAATTCAGTTACACACATTTCCGGTGAGTGTGTTCGAATTTGAATTGGTATACGGATTATGGGTGGATTCATGAATATGGCTTGAATGTTATTCTCAACGTTTGAACGATTGTCTATTGAATTGTAACAAATTGTATGTCATAAAAAACTGTTTACTATAATATATTATTATTATTATTTACATTATGACAGAATGAGTTTTGAAAATACTAATAAGATTTAACCGCGAATTTTAAAGAATTTATTTTGATATAGTTGACAAAATTTTTTTTAAAATTTATTGACTTCGTTAAAAGTAATATCACATACACAAACAAATTTACATTAGTAACGAAGAGAAATGTTGAATAACAAATCAGATGAGGTTACACTTATATATCAAGCGAGTCGAAGATGCCAGAGTAGACCATTCACTTAGTAAATCATATTACCAGAACAGATAATAGCGTTATGTTGCATTATGCGGGCTTCACAGTATGATATACTCACTATATATTTCGAAACGATTTAAAACAAATTTAAGAAATGTTTAATCACACTGACTATACTGTGTAGAATTCGGCAGTACCTCGCTTTTCTAATCAACTCATACAAATCTTTTCTAAAATCTTGTCAAATTTTAGCTGGTGTAGATGCCGAGTAAGAAGCAAAAGAAATAACAGCGAGCAATAAAAATATATTGTCACAATTTCACTGACTCGCCATCTACACAGGCAATACTTTGGCAAGTTTTTTATGTTCAAGAGTAAAAATTTAATTTAATTTCTGAATTTTGTCTATGAACAAATTTTATATGATAGAGAAAAAATCATGGTGTTTACAAAATTTAGCCAAAGCATACCCAGTGTTGATGCCGGATAAAAAAAGCTGGGTTTAAAATGCAATGCTTTTACGCAAAATGCAGTTGTAAAAACCTTCAAGACTATTTACGGGTCTGAATATGGACATATAAATTTATTTATATCACGATACAAAAGATACACTACATAAGATGGGTAGTGAAGGAGGCCCATGTCACATTGCTTAAAACCAGAAAATCGAGGAATCAGGGAGAGAGAAGTAGGTGTGGGATTAATTAGAAGTTAGAGTTTTATAAAAATTTATCTATGTTGGTTTCATCTAAATTTCTTGGATGTTATATTCAACAAGAGATATTTTGTATTTATTAATAAATATGGCTTCATCGTTAAAACTGTAATGGGGTAGTTCCGTAAATAATTTATTTTAGATATGAAACAGCACCTAAAACTGATAGGTACGATAACTTTTATACACCGGTTTATATACCATTAGTTCTCAGCCAAAACCACAGAAAACTCATATGTAGATGGTCAAAGCCAATCTCAAAATCAGCAATGGCTTTAAATTTCAGAAAATCGTTTTTTCTTACATTGAATCACGATTTACACGATTTACGCAATTCCTTATTTTGGATGATTCATTTTACATTTGGACGTACTTTACACTCTCACTTTTTCTTTATTCAAATAAATGTTGACACATTGTGAATTGAACGGTGATCAAACAGTCAATTCAAAATTCAAAATTTGGATACATTTTTATTTTGTGTGTCAATGAACATTTATGCAGAAGTTGTTTTTGCTAAAACGAATAAAATTAATTGTAACATCTATTTAATATATTTTAGAAAGCTTTGGCTACCAATGCTTCTAAGTGGAACATACAATGGAAAAGGTTGGAAAAATTTGTAACATTGAAATTTAACGTGTCCGAGTTTCAAACTACAACGCAAGAGGTTAACAGACCTAACTGGATCTCTAGTATCACCATAATATTTTGAGTTGAACTTAAGAGAAATTCATGCAACTTTATGATATTGTTATTTAATTAACTTTGGTTGTTAGCAACTTTACCTACCTCGGTGCGCTGATTAGCAACAATAATGATTGCAGAATCGCAATAAGAAATAGAATACAAGCAGAAAATAGATGTTTTTACAAATATTTAGACTTAATGAAATCAAGACTACTATCCAAGGAAAGTAAGCTACAAATGTACAAGACAATAATAAGACCGGTAGCTACATATGGTTCAGAAACATGGGCAATGACGAAGGCGAACGAAGAAGCTTTAAATATTTAAAAAAAAAAATAGTTCGCCAAGTCTACGGGCCAATCCAAATTGATGCAGAAACTTTTCAAGGACGAACAAATAATGAAATTGAAGAACTGCTTAGAAACGAAAATATAGTGAGATACATTAAGTCGCAAAGTTTGCAATGGGCTGCTCATGTAATAAGAATGGGGTGGGGAGAAAGCCGAATAGCATATTCAGCGTAAAGCCTATGACAAGGCTTTGCAGAGATAGGCCAAGAACAAGATGGAATGCACAGAGCCACAGAGATAGGCCAAGAACAAGATGGAATGAGAACGTGTGTGGTGATGCAAGTACGATTTGAGTACTGAACTGAAAGAAAGTAGCAGAAGATAGGGACAGATGGAGGCCGATTGTGAGGTAGGCTAAGGTTCATACTGGACTGTATGTAGTGCCAAATAAGAAGAAGAGAATTAACTTTCTCCTTCTCTTAATGATATACCATAATGCATTAAAATATATAAAAAACATGTTTAATACTTTTGCAAAGGTGTTAAAAAGATTTCAGTGTTAATATTGTTTAATATTCCATTGAAAGTTATGTTTTCATTTTAATAGAAATATTTTTTTAATTTTTTAATATGCTTTTAAAAATTATTTTTACATAAAATACGCTTTCTGTATATATCTTTATATATTCACTTATATTAATTTTTTAGTTGACAGACACTCATTCTATTCTTCATATTAGTTTTTTACTGAGCTTTCATCATTGTATCTCTTATCCGAATGCTCTTTGCTGTTAAAGTTATTTTCTGTTTGTTGATTTGTTTGCGTTGCCACTTGAGTTGATAGCTGAGAGTTAACTTTAACCCTCACGATTTGTTTTCGTTCCTTCACAGATTGTTCAGTTCATTTGTTTCCATACACATATTCTTCTCATGTTAGTCTTTCATATTTTTCCACAGCGATTCATGGCATATCAACACGCTTATTTCATATTTACACATGATTTACTTTGAAGTGGGTGTGTTTGTGCTTTTCCTGAATTTTCCAGCAGCTATGAGTAAGTTGGCACTGGCATTGTCTTTACGTCATGACATCACGGATGATTTGTCAAAAACTTTATCGTCATTTCGTTAGATTATTAGCATGACAAAATGTAACAAATTTAATATCAAATAATTTAAGCTAGAATTCGTTTGTGATACTTTATTTGATGTTGATACCTTGTTTAATGAGATTAATAAATTATAATTTTAAGCAAATAGTTTCGATCCACGTGAATTTAAAAATAAAATATATTTGCGCAAAGCAGCCGTTAACGAACTGATTGCCTTATGCATCACATTTGATTTTAATTATTTTTAAATTTAGTTAAATTACTCAACGTGAACACATATTAAACAGTTCGCATACATTCACTAATTGCAAATGACCTCAGGTCATTAAATTTCGGTTCATTGAACCGCTTAAATATCTAGTTAACCGTTTTGTTCATTAAAGCCATATTAAAATTTTTAAAGTTTTAACATTTTTTTTTGTTATTTTTAAGTGAATTAAAATAATTTGTACCCACTTATCACTTTTAGAGCATTGATATGAACCACTTCTTTAATTTGTTAATGCTTCAATTTCTTTTATTAGATTTACACAAAAATTAAACTTATTGCACTTGACCGTGAAATCTAAATTTTACGCAAAAATTAATAACAAAATATATTGTGTCTAACACAATCAGATAACAAAACACAAAAATTAACTGTTCAATTTCAATAATTTTTGAGGTACTTGACAAAGTTGAGCGAAAAATTGTTCCGCACAACGATTTGATGTGCAGCGTTAAGACCGCGCAACAAGTTTCCAACCAACATGCGATGAGGTGTTAATATCGCCAGACGAGGTACTTGAGGGCTCAAGTGGCGCATGGTTCGTTCGTGCTTTGATTGTGTAAATAGTTACCAATGCAGTGGTTAGACTGAATTTTGTGTGTGCACAATTATATATCCGCATTGGTTCACACTGCCACCTCTAATTACATATGTGTGAATGGATCCATTTGTATGAATGGCAACTACGAAAAGCTTCACAATATGTCTTTATACACATTTTTATTCAACAAGTATTTGACAATTAGTTGTATAAATAGTTAAACCAACTGCTGTTGCAAATCATTCCTAAAATAGTCTTTATCATTTTAACCTTAAGCAAGAAGAACTATTCGGAATGGTGAGTAATTTACTAAGAATGCAATCTACAGGATACAATACTAATTTACCAATACAAAATATTTCAGAGAATCTTTATTGCGTGCATATTCATTGCCGCAGCGACGGCTGCAGTTATTCCAAATGACGGCTTAAGGCAACGTCGAGATGTTTCGGAGCTTTCAGTTGCACATAATTATTTACCACCAAATGCGGATATCGTTACGGAAATTCCAGCAGAAAATGAACAAAATACTGCTGTGCTTGCCGACGATGGATATGTGTATAAAACCGTAAGACGTTTAAGATACAGACAACGTAGAGATGTATCTGAAATTGCTCCAGATTATTTGCCATCAGTTCAAGAAAAAGTTGCTTCTAAATATTTGCCACCAGCAGAAGAATCTGCTACTGAACCAGCATTAGAAACAGAGGATAGTCAAGATACCGCAGTACTTGGAAAAGACGGATACCAATACAAAACAGTACGTCGTCTCAAATATAGACATCGTCGTGATGTTTCCGAAATTTCTCCAGAATATTTACCACCCAAAGAAGAAAAAGATGTATCAGAATATTTACCACCAGCAGAAGAATCTGCTACTGAACCAGCTTTAGAAACAGAGGATAGTCAAGATACCGCAGTACTTGGAAAAGACGGATACCAATACAAAACAGTACGTCGTCTCAAATATAGACATCGTCGTGATGTTTCCGAAATTGCTCCAGAATATTTACCACCCAAAGAAGAAAAAGATGTATCAGAATATTTACCACCAGCAGAAGAATCTGTTACTGAACCAGCATTAGAAACAGAGGAGAGCCAAGATACCGCAGTGCTTGGAAAAGACGGATACCAATACAAAACAGTACGTCGTCTTAAATATAGACATCGTCGAGATGTTTCCGAAATTGCTCCAGAATATTTACCACCAACTGAAGAAAAAGCTGCATCAGAATATTTACCACCAACTGAAGAATCTGCTACTGAACCTGCATTGGAAACAGAAGAGAGTCAAGATACCGCAGTACTTGGTAAAGATGGTTACCAATATAAAACAGTACGTCGTCTTAAATACAGACATCGTCGAGATGTTTCTGAAATTGCTTCAGAATATTTACCACCAACTGAAGAAAAAGCTGCATCAGAATATTTACCACCAACTGAAGAGTCTGCTACTGAAGCCGCATTGAAATCTGAGGAGAGTCAAGATACAGCAGTGCTTGGTGAAGATGGTTACCAATACAAAACAGTTCGTCGTCTTAAATACAGACATCGTCGAGATGTTTCTGAAATTGTTCCAGAATATTTACCACCAACTGAAGAATCTGTAATCTGAATGAACCTGCATTGCAAACCGAGGAGACCCAAGATACAGCAGTGCTTGGTGAAGATGGTTACCAATACAAAACAGTACGTCGTCTTAAATACAGACATCGTCGAGATGTTTCTGAAATTGCTTCAGAATATTTACCACCAACTGAAGAAAAAGCTGCATCAGAATATTTACCACCAACAGAAGAATCTGCTACTGAAGCAGCTTTGGAAACAGAGGATAGTCAAGATACCGCAGTGGTTGGTGAAGATGGTTACCAATACAAAACAGTACGTCGTCTCAAATATAGACATCGTCGAGATGTTTCTGAAATTGCTCCAGAATATTTACCACCAACTGAAGAAAAAGCTGTATCAGAATATCTACCACCAACTGAAGAGTCTGCTACTGAAGCTGCATTGAAATCTGAGGAGAGTCAAGATACAGCAGTGCTTGGTGAAGATGGTTACCAATATAAAACAGTTCGTCGTCTTAAATACAGACATCGTCGAGATGTTTCTGAAATTGCTCCTGAATATTTACCACCAACTGAAGAAAAAGCTGCATCAGAATATTTACCACCAGTAGAAGAATCTGTTACTGAACCAGCATTAGAAACAGAAGAGAGCCAAGACACCGCAGTGGTTGGAAAAGACGGATATCAATACAAAACAGTACGTCGTCTTAAATATAGACATCGTCGAGATGTTTCTGAAATTGCCCCAGAATATTTACCACCAACTGAAGAAAAAGCTGCATCAGAATATTTACCACCAACTGAAGAATCTGCTACTGAACCTGCATTGAAAACTGAAGAGAGTCAAGATACCGCAGTACTTGGTAAAGATGGTTACCAATATAAAACAGTTCGTCGTCTTAAATACAGACATCGTCGAGATGTTTCCGAAATTGGTTCAGAATATTTACCACCAACTGAAGAAAAAGCTGCATCAGAATATTTAACACCAACTGAAGAGTCTGTTACTGAAGCCGCATTGCAAACCAAGGAGAGCCAAGATACAGCAGTGTTTGGTGAAGATGGTTACCAATACAAAACAGTACGTCGTCTTAAATATAGACATCGTCGAGATGTTTCTGAAATTGCTTCAGAATATTTACCACCAACTGAAGAAAAAACTGTATCAGAATATTTACCACCAACAGAAGAATCTGCTACTGAAGCTGCATTGAAAATTGAAGAGAGTCAAGATACAGCAGTGCTTGGTGAAGATGGTTACCAATATAAAACAGTACGTCGTCTTAAATATAGACATCGTAGAGATGTTTCTGAAATCGCTTCGGAATATGTGCCACCTGTTGAGACTGAATATTTACCACCAACGGAAACTGAGTCTGTTATTGTGGATGCACCCCAAGAAAGTGCAAGTTTGACTAAAGACGGGTACCAGTATAAAACAATTAAGAAAATTAAGTATTAGAAGTAGGCAATTTTATTGAACTGTGAATTAGATACATCAATCAATTTAGGCAAAAAATAAATATATTTAAAAAATTTATTCGTATTATTTTAAAAAAATTGTTTAGTTATTACTTGAAGTTTATGACTATAATCGGAACTCTAATCCTAACAACTGCACTGATTTTCAACAAAATTATTAGTTGTTGTATATTAATATTGTAGTTTCGGATGTCAGAGGTTGCGATGTTAAATGGCA